TTTCCTTATTTTTGTTGTTTTAATTCAGATATTTGCAGAGATAATGCCCCAAGGGCCTTATCTCTGCAATCCGGACTGCACTCCTAGGATCTAGGAGGGATGAGGTCATCATTGGGACCTGCCCATCCCTACTGCTGCAGTCCCAACCTGACGGCACATTTTCCTCCACCCATTCCTCCTCCTTTGTCTCATTCTCCCCTTTTTTCTCTCTTTTTCTCTCCCTCTTTCTTTTATTGCTCTAGGGACAAGTGTCCAACAGCTATTTCTCCTCTTTCTGGCTGTTGGACTTCACCCAAGGTCTGTTTTTTGTAGCCGGTACATGGCCGTTGCACCTCGGACTGCAGTAACGGCACCCCCAAGGCCAAAGGGAGCTCCTTTTTGCTGCCGCCGCTTCCAGTTTGAGACCCGCTTGCTCCGATTCTCTCCGGCCAGCCTTTTTTCCACGTGGAGCCCTTGGAACTTCGTTTTTCTTGGCCTGGCCGATCCGGGATACTCGGACTTTTGGCCGCCCCCCCCCTTACTACCGCTACTCCCTCTCCTCTTTCCCTTCGGCACTTCCCTCCGGTGCTTGCCGCGGTGGTACTTAGTATTTTCATCCGGACACCTGGCCCGGACGGTCCCGTCCATCCAACGTTATGTTATTTTATTTTTATTTGTTGTTACATTTGATCCAGGGTCCCCTTGGGTCGCCCCAGGTGCCTTCCGTTTTTCCCGTCTCACGTCCGTCTCCTTCGTTCTATCGTCAATTTTCGTCAGCACCCGACTTCTCCTCTTTTTCTTATTGTCTCTAGTCTCTCTCATTTTTCCAACGTCGTCCCGGGTGACGTTCCGCTCTCGTGTACTCCCCTTGGGTCGGTCGCCCTTTATTCTGCCGACGGCTCCGGTCTTCAGCCCCCGTCAGTGGCTCCCGACACTTTATCTCGTCGATACCCGTCCTGCTAGTGGTTCCGCTGGTGCCGCCATTTTTTCTAGGCCCACGCGGTCCCTGGCACTTCGGCCCGCCGACATTACGTCTTTCCCTTGGTCTCACGCCTTTCCCGATACTTCGCCCTGCCGGCACCACGCCGTCCCCTGGTCCTGCGTGGTCCCCGACTCTTTGTCCTGCCGGTACCGCCCCGTCCTCCGATCCCATGTGGTCCCTGGCATTCCTGCCCCACCTGTACCATATCTTCCCTTGGTGCTCCTGTCGTCCTTCCGCCTTACGGCGGTCTCCGCCCCCCCCGTTCCCTTTGTGTCCCACATGTCGTTCCGCTCCGGGCGTTGGTTCCCCCTAACCTGCGATCTCCTCGGCCCACCTGCCGCCACGTCGCGTCAGCGCCTTACGCCCTGTCTCTTCCCACTTTCTTCCTTCCCTTGCTGCGCACCTCTCATGCTCCTACCAACTTCCCGACGACCATCCTCTGTTCTTGGGGAAGGAGTCGCCCTTGCTATTCTCTCACATTCCTTTGCCGCTTTCCGCTTAAACAATTCCTCTCTTGCTTTGGCGGTCTTGACGACTCCGGACAGCCTCTAGCCTCCTAATGTCTGTGCTCACGCTTTCGATCTTTCCATCATTCCTGCCTCCGATTTTCTCTGTCTTGCACAAATTGATCATATACAGTCTCTCGAGTGACGGGAAACAATTCGGGACTCGCCAGTCCCGGCATATTCCCCCCACTCATTCGCGATGTCCTCATCGCGCACCAATCCATGGTCGGTAGGGATTTTGGAGTGACGGACAGACAGGGAGAAGAAGTGGGGTGGGATGGGTAGTTAGCTTGCCATGGTTCTTTTTGTCTTTCCCACTCTTTTCTTAGGTCCTTCTTTAAATTTCTGCCCTTGGGGCGGGGGAGGGAATGGGGGGGTCAAGGTTTTGTTTCGGGTTTCCTTTGGATTGCGTAACATCCCCAAGCTCAATATATTCTTTGTAAGGAGCGCGTAACACTCTCTGTGCATCAACGTCCGTCTCACAGCTGTATCTCTTTCTCGCTGGAACTCCCAATTACCCAAGAGTTTCCCAACAACCCCCGGCCCACAAAAGAGAGGACGACGAGCCCATCACCCTCCCCAGGGACCGTGGTAAGAGGAAAATTTTGGCGGCGAGTTAGCAACACGTCAAGGGTCTTAAGCAGCTCGATGTCTCTTTCTTTCTTTCTTTCCTCATCAAGTTGTCTAGCATTACCCTTTGGGGAGGTCCATCAACAGACATGTCTTGCAACTAGTTTTTCATTGTACGTTATTTCTCGCTCTTGACAATGTCTTGAAGGCTGCACTCGTATTCTCAAATCCATCTTCCCATTTCATAAAGAAAACATTCTTGAGCGGAAATCCTTTTGGTTTCGTCTCATTCATTACTCTTAGGACATCCACACATTTTCAGTACAATTTTTCCTCTCCTCGAAGCTCAGGCATGGCCAAATCCACATGCATTCTTCCCGGGTCATTCCTCCCGGCCTTTCTCAGGTCCTGCCAATTCCACATGCATCTCATCCTCTGCCCTCTATTGCCCTTTTCTTAATTGACTCCCCACGTGCAATGCTTGGTTCACCCCCTTGCCACTTTTCATTTTTTCAAGCTTATACGAGCTGATTACACAGCCCACTCTTAGTCTGCCAGTTCCAGTTCATACCATGTCACTTGCTCAAACCCTTTATGCGCTGGCATCTTGCCAGGCCCCCTTTTCTGAGGCCGATACAAAGTCAATTACAATCTTTTTCTGTTCCGGCCATCTTGACAGACCCCTTTTTCCCAAGCCTATGCAAAATCAATTACAAGTCTTATTTTCATGCGTATTCATTGGTAGATGGCACACCTTTCCCCCACTCAAAACGCGATGTCCCCATCGCGCGACTGGTTCTCACTCGGAGGCACGCAGACCTTTGGCCCACCAACCGCAAGCCAAGGACACAAGCCCGTCCGCTTCACAAAAGGAAGAGTGATCAGTTCCTCCCCAGCGGACGACGCCTCATCCTTCTGCCCGGTCCGACCTTTCTTCTCTTACGTGGCGAACACCAATACTGAGGTTCCTCCCCACATCTGGCAGGCAGGTCCAATCCACGCCTCCCAGGGCCTCGTCTAGCCGTAAGAGCGTTCCTCGTGAATCGTCCCTCCTGAGTGGTGATTTTCTGGATTCCGGCCTCTTCCTTTCAAGAGAGTTGGGACTCTCAATTAGTCTGCGAGTGCAGTTACGAAGACCTCGCAATTAGTCCCGAAGTGGTTGTAATGCTCCGGCGGGGCGGTGTCAATGCCCCGTGGTGGCCGCGGACTCCACCCGGTACTCCGCCAAGCCCCTCCCCTTGGATGGTGCTGCCCAACTTAGTGCGGGCAGCCGAGGTTCGACCCAAACGGCCATGGCATCCCTCTATGACATGGCGTGTGGTTGGAGAGGACAAAATGGACTAGATGAGAATGGCATCCTCGCCCATCTGACTCTCTCGCCCTTTGACGTTTAGGCGTTCAACAGGAGGCGCAGTTTGAACTCCCCGACTAGAGCTCTTTGCCGGGTGTAGTTCCGGACGTCCTGCACCGATCCAAGTGGTAGGTGCCTTAGTCCTTTAACCCTCACCCCCTTGAAGAGGAACCGGTCGCGCTGAGACTTTTCCCTCAAAGGAATAGAGGTCTTGGGGTCGCGATGCGTGCACCGGTATCCCCCTCTTGCTGATGCCAAGGACTAGATGAAAAGAGAAATTCATTTCAATGCTCTTTCCAGGTCCATTTCAAGTTGCCTAGGGTCCCCTGTTTATGCAGTGCAATTTTTAATACTCAATCCCATTCCAATGCTCAGTCTCATTCCCATGCTCAATCTCAGTCCAATGCTCAATCTCAGTCTAATGCTCAATGCAATATCTCTTCCAAGGCTGAGTCCAATATCTTTTCCAGGGTTGAGTTCTTTCCAATCTATTTTCCAAGGCTCAACTCTTTCCAATCTCTTTTCCAAGGCTCGGTTCTTCCAATACCATGCCTCTCAAGCAGCCATGCAAGGGGACCCCAGTGCCAATTCCAAAGAATGACCTTTGTCAGAGGCCATTCCGAACATCCTGGTTAGGGTTGCTCTTTCCAATTCCAAATCGAACAGCCTGGTTAGGGCCATTCTTATCTATTACAATCGGACAGCCTGATTAGGACCATCCTTATCCATTTCAATTGGATAGCCTGGTTAGGGTCATCCTTGTCCATTTCAATGTTAGCGCCCGAGGGGGTGGGCCTCGAGGACACGGATCTGATCTCGTCTCGGGGGTTAGAAGGCGGCCATCGTCTTGAGTTTTTATGCGTGCTTCTTCCTTTTCCCTCATGCCATTTGCCAATCTTACATCCTTCCATACATCCGACTTAGCGTCTAGTGCTCGAATTGGGGCTCGCATCCCCGAGCAGCACTAGCCCGCCTGGCCGTTCAACCATTGCAATGGGTGCTGAGTCATTTCAATGTTCCTTCCGCTCGTCCGGCTTCTCATAACATCGCAATGCTCTGGACTTGCCTCGGATAAGTTGGATTAGGCTCCTAGGGAAGAGAATGCCTCTTTACCCGTAGGTCCCCTAACCTCTCACAAGGACTTGTGCAAAGACTCCTTCAATCATGGACACAGAAATAAAGGGAAAAATTTTCATCATCAACGTTCCTTTCAATGTCGAGGAGTGCACATGCCCTTGCTCATTTCCTCGAGACAAAATCAATCACCCCGAGTCCCTTTCTTACTACAAAAGACTCATGTTTCCCAAAAGGAGCAGGTACTCATACAATGTAGCACCGGTCACCCACCCCCTATTAGTTTCTTCAATCCAAAAAGTAGTTACATCGCAGTCTTTCCAAAAAGAAAACGAGGAGACAAAGTCCGAATGCAAGACAACATTACAGTCTTGTCTCATCTAGTTCCCTCTGTTTTCCCCTTACTTTCCCTTAGCCATCCCAGCCATCCACAGTTCTATTCTAAGTGCAAAAAGCTCTCGTGCCCATTCCGGAAGAAGCAACGACTTATATGAAGTAGTATTCGTCACCCAGTCCTTAGCCGCTTCGAGCTTAGCAGCTGTCTCATCATAGTTCATTCACAAAGAAGTTCAAATGCACAAAAAAGAAAGATGGCTGTTGTTGCTGCCCGGTTATCAACCCTTCCCCGATTCCCAGCTATTCCCATCTTGCCTACTGCCCCCTTTTTTACTGTCCCGGTGCCCTGCGCCGAGCCTCCATCCTTGCACGGTCCTCCATCTCTTGCTCCATTAGCCTCTTTATTGCCTGTAGATGACGAAGCGTTTCTTCTGAGAAGAAAGTTGTTGGGGATATGTCTTCTCCCCTGCTGAACTTTTCCTTGCCCTTCATTGCCCATTGATAACGCAAAATACTTGACCATTGATCGAACCAATCGCTGAAAGTTGGCCCGAATTCTCTTTTCCATGGGTCCTTTTCTTCCCCTGGGTCCTCCTTTCTTCCCCGATCTTCCCTTGAAGGCGTTGTCACTTCATCCTCTTCTTCGTCGCTGGTGAGGTCGATAAATTCCACGGGCACGTCCTCCTCCAACCTTGGCATTTTCCTCGGGTTCCTCTCTTCCTTGCTACTAGGGTCACTGTCTGATGACAGTTCTACTGGCTCCCCTTCCTTAGTGACGATGGCCCCCCTGGTTCCTTGCTTTCTGCCCCCCCTCTTCATAACTAGGTTGTGATCGAACCCCACATAGAACTTTCTTTTCCTGGAGCTTGACTCTCCAGTTTGCCTTGACGATTGTCCCTCTTCCGGCCTGTTAATTGCATTGCTGTCATTTTCATTCCCAAACTCCATTTTTTCGTTTTCTTGCTGTCCTGCTTCTTCTCGCCTGGCCCTGTTCATACATAATAGTCACGATACCACTCATACACACGCATTCCCTTCCACTCCCATTTTGCAGCTTTGGAGGCTTCCCTAAAATGCTTGCTTGCCCCCATATAGTTGGTAGTCTCATTATCCCTTAGAACCCTCGACACATTGTCCCAACACATAGGTGCCCCATGTAGGCAGTCCACAGCATCGCCCCACAAAAACTATGGTACATTGTCCCAACACATAAATACCTCGTGTTGACAGTCCCCAGTGTTACCCCACAAAAACTACAATACACTGTCCCATGCTCCCAAGCCCAGTCACAGTTAGCCCAGGCAGTCTCCCCATGTTCCACAAAAGTCAAGACACACAAACGAACAATCAAGACACACAAACGAACAATCAAGACACACAAACGAACAATCCCTGTGGTCATGATCACTTCCGCAGGAATCCGCAGGAAGGTGGTCCATAACTCATAGGCAGTTGCCTGCCTTTCAGGCTGTCAATTCCCCCGTTTCCCTGTCCTGGGCCTCTTGTAGCCACTGTTCCACCAGATTCCTGCTAAAAAATCTAACCAGTCTCTGTCCCGGAAATGGTCCTCTTATGCTAGTACCATCAAGATCCTCAAGTTCAAACATATTCAGTCCCACCCGCTTTGCGATCCTGTAAGGCCCTTTGAATCTCTTTCCCAGTTGCCCAGACCATGTGCTTTCAAGAACCGAGTTTCTAATTAACATTTTCTCCCCCACTTGGAGTGGCTCTTTCCGAATGTTCTTGACCAGGTCCCACCTTGCTTTGTCCTTCATTCGGCTATCTGTTACACGATTAACTACTTCCTCGAGTGCCTCCTTATTTCTGGTGACCTGCTGACAACGTGCGGTGATTAACTCTTCCGTGCTCAAGTGTGGGTCGTCATCTAGCCTGTTCCAGGTAGGGACCAAGGCTTCTATCGAAAAATCGATCTCCCTTCCATACCAGAGTTCTGTTGGAATACATCCCGTTGTTCTTTTTGGAGTCATGTTCTCGACGAAGACTGCCTGCTTGAGAAACCGTGGCCAACTTCCCAAATTATCCGCTGCCAACTTTGCGATTGTGTTCTTCAAAGTCCGGTGACCCCTTTCTACTGGAGCATTTGCCTCAGGATGATAAGGCTCGGTGATCTTGATCGGTACGCACAATATCTTGAGCCTATTCAACACCTCCTGGTTAACAAATTTTATCCCGTTGTCTGCTATAAACCTGCGCACGAAGGGGTGCCTTAGGTAGAAATCTTCCACCCAGTCGGCCACTGCTTTCCCCGTCTTCTTCTTGAGAGCTATGGCTTCTATATAGCCACTGAGATTATCTCTTGCATCCAAGATGTATCTAAACCCATCTGTTGATACGGGCATAACAGCAAGGTCGAGGTGAACCAGGTGTCCGGGTCCCAGTACCCGGGTGGGTCTAAGAGGCTCGTAAACTCGTACCGCGCTCCTCTCTCCCCGGCCAAAAGTACAGGGGCACGATCTTTGCCAATGTCCCCTTTGACGACCGGTAACTCCCATCTAGCCCATCATGCATTGCCTGAATTACGTCCAACTGCCTAGAATTCCCACAAATGACGCGTCTAAGCATCATCCCTTCCTCTCTCTTGAACAGGTGGCCATTTCTTAGGACATACTTTTCTACTTCCTCCTTTGCCTTGGGACTGACTTCCGTGGATTGTTTGTTCCCTACAAGCAGCAAACCGATTTCTTTGAAGACACCCTCATACATCTGTATGAGGAAGAATTTCTGTTCGTTCTGATCCATACCCTGCTCCTCCGAGTGAGGTTGACTAGGTACTGACACTCCTTCTGCGCCCAGGTTTCGTCAACATCATTACGGCGTCCCGTCCCCCTTCCACAGTCATCGTCATCAACTCTTCCTTGACCCCTACTTCTGCTCCCCAGGAGTCCTTCTCCTCTTTACGCCTGACCGTGGTGGCTGGTCCTTCCCTGAGTTTTGCAACTACTGGCGGCGCGCCTTTTTCCAAGGTCTGGATCAACAACTGACCTGTAGTAATTGCTAGATCTGCCATCTCATTATCCACCACCAAGGTCCCTCCTTCATACTCCAGGAAGGTGTCGATTGGTTCCGCGTCCTCTACTCCTTCTGGCGTGATGCATACCCTGCTCAACCCATCTGCCCTGTTTCGAAGCCCTGCAATTCGCTCAACCTTATAGTCGAATTGCCATATGAAGCCTATCCATCTGCCAACGGTCGGATCTATAGGCTTGTAGTTCTTTAGGGTCCCGACAACGTTGGTGGGATCGATCCTTAGGATAAATCGCCTTCCGAACAGGTATGCCTGGAAGGTCTTAAGACAATGCAGAATCGCTAAGACCTCCTTCTTGAACTGTGAGTACCGCCRTTCTGCCGAATYCAGGGTCCTACTTTCRAATCTGATTGGYCTTTCCTTGCCCTCCTCGCTTCTCTGTATCAATACTCCTCCAACTGCCAGCGGTCCCCCGTCTGTTTCTAAGATGAAAGGTCGTCCTACCTCGTCATTGAAACAGGCTGCTAGAGTAACCTGATCGGATGACAGGATGTCCTTCAGGGTCTGGGCTGCCGCTTCCCTATCCTCGGTCCAATCCATAGTGCCGCCTTCCCTAATCATTGCGCGGATAGGCTCTGCTATCTTTGCGAATCCTTTGATGAAGATCCTCCATAACCCAACCACCCCTAGGAAGGCTCGTACTTCCGTCGTGGTGCGCAGAGGTGTCGGCCACTAGGAGATCTCATCCGTCTTTGCTGGGTCGGGTCTCCTCCCATAAGCTCCACAACGAAATCCCAGTATGGTTACTTCCGGGACGGCCAGGATGCTCTTGGGACCGCTTGCAGTAATATTGTAAACAAGGAAGCGCTGGAGTAGGTCCTTAATATCCTGCAGGTGGTCCCAAACAAACTTTCGTATGCCTGGCTCAACCTCCGTCTCGTCCTTGTACCTTTCGCCTTTTATGGGATTATCATTTTGTACGGCTCACACTTTTCCGGAAACATATCCCCTGCGACGACGAGCATCCTTCTTTGCGCCTCTGCTACCACATTTGTAAAGCCCATAGGGGTTACTTGCATCTGCAGCTTCCCAACGGGGGTGTGCATTTCGGTGTACGGTCTATCCGTCGCATCGAGCGGCAACTGATCATATCCTGAGTACAAGTTTACCAGGGAGTAAATACTCCGCCCCGCATGAGATTCTGTCTACAAGTCGGTCTGTGGAAGTGAGCCTGCGTCCCTAATTGTTACCGCATTGAGCTTCTGCAGGTCCTGGATCCACCTGAGCGTCTTATTGGGCTTCCTGAACACGAACAACTTGTTCGCGTAGGGGGATGCGGTGGGTTCAACCACGAAAGAATCTATCTTAGCTCTAAGCAGGTCGGTGACCTCCGCTGCTATCCCAAACTCATAGGCGGACCCTTTATCATTCCAACACTCGTGCTGTACGGTGTGGATCCTGACAGGGGGAACTAGCTTTGTGTCCAATCGCTCTTTCTGATGATCATTGAAAGCGAAAGCTAAATGAAACTCCTTGCATGCTTTTCTTATCAACTGAGTTTCTTTCGCTGTTAGAAACCGTTCCACTCCTATTTTCATAGTATCTGCTACGTCGTCTGGTATGCGATGCCCTTCCGTTGCGCGTCTCTCCCTTATAACCCATAGGATCTCCTCCTCTTTTTCCATGGCCTCTTCCTTTGATGTTTCTACTAGGATCGAGACCGACTTGGCCTTCTTCCCTACGGGTTTGTATTTTCGCACACTGCCTTCTGGGATCGTTCTCCTTAAAAATGAACGGTCGGGATTGACCTTGCTATTTCCATGATACGGGGCTGAGAGCTAACTATCTTCCCATTCAAGCAGTAGCCTTTTGGAACCTCATCCTCAAACTTGGCAAGCGCTGTCGGGTCCACCCCCACTTTGTGGTACCTGATTGCCTTAAGAAGTTGCAACAGGTCCGGGATTTGGAGCGCTAGCTCGGGGGTCTCGTTATGGCCTTCCTTTGGCTTGGGCAGGCTGGCCCCAAGTTCAACTTCCAGCTCCTTTTCCGCCACCATAACCCCCAGGGGCTCGTCCTCTGGCCTCCTCTTCTTTACGGGCAGACCCATCTTGATCCATTCCTTTTTACTAAAAGCCTCCTCGATCATAATTTCTATCCTTTCCCTCATGCCTTCCATTCATGAGAATGCCCCCTCCCGTGCACTTTCTTCGAATGTTGGAGACCAGGTTGCCAATTTGCCCTTCGGAGGGTCCCCTTCGGTCCCAAGAAGTCGGAGGAGTTCCCCGCGGCCAGTCACTGGGTCCTCTATGTCTACCATGTATGTGTCGTCGTGCAGATGCATTCCTATCATTTCCACATTGGCGCACCATGGTCTCCCGAGGATTACGTCGTAATTCATTTCTTCCATCACGGTCATCCGCTGAAAGGACCAGATGGATTCCCGGATTCCCGCCCTGACTGTACATTTGGTGGCATACCCTGTGAAAGGAATTTCGCCACCAGCTCCCCGGATACTCCCTGCTACTTCCTTGTTTACCGTGCACCCCGTGACCGTTGCGAAATCTCGTCTTATGAAGGTGATTTCTGCTCCGCCGTCCACTAACGCGTCAGTGTGGTGAGTTCCGATTTGAACTTTAAGTTTCCCAACTGGTAATGCATGAAAGCTAAGCTTTGTTTCGGGTGGCGCCCTCATGACTTCGCCACCTTCACGATACGGTAGGCTAAGTCGGATGTCCACAAAGGCTTTCTCCAAATCTCCTAGGCCCTTTGGAATGCTTTGGAGGTTGGAGACTCCTTGCGGTGCCTCGGCCTCTTCCTTGTCCTGCTCTTGCAGTTCCGGGGCCTCCTCTACCTCTACGCGCTTACGCGTTAGCAACTGCCTGAGTCCTTTAAGCAGCCTTGGGCTGGCTTGCAGCATGGTCTGAAAGGACACCGATACCATGGTACCCAGTAGCTTACTCAAGGTGCCATCGATTTCTGGAGAAGTCAAGATCGGAATTTGATACCTGAACTTCTTCTTTGCCGCCGTAGCCTTGTCTACCGGTTCGTCCTCCCTTGGCTTCCCATATACCTTCTCTTGTTCCCCGGCTTCGGTCTCTTGCTGGCCCGTGCTAGTCCCTGCGAGTTCTTCCATTACTGTATCTTGAATAAGTTTCTTTTCTGCGCCGGCCCGGCGAGTGGTAATATTTACCCTATCCTGGTCATTGCCTTCTAGGATAAAATTGGCCTGTGGTCCCCGTCCCCTTTGCTGGTCCCASACAATCTCGTCTATCGGCTCTGCTTCTACGAMAGCTATCTCTAAGTTATTTAGGAGGATGACGGCTCGCCGCATCCCTCCTGGCGAGTTTCAATTGACACACTCCCCCCTGGGTCCGAGGATCTCGCCTTTGAGGGACCTACTGCACCTCTGCCGCTCGATATCGTGATTGAGTCTCGGACAAGCCCGTACGAAATCCCCGATCATGGTGCAATACTTGCATTGTTCGTTGGCCGGGTCCCTCCTGCCAAACCCCCGGTTTGCTACAGCTGGCGGAACCACGTTCTCTTGGGGCGGGAGGGCGGGTCGGGACACTTGCGCCTGCATTACTAACAACGCATTTTCCATTTTGTCCATCTTGCTATCAACCCCGTGCACCCGCTCGTGCAGGCTCTCTATCCCCTTCTTGACCTTATTCCCCCGTCTTCCCGATCAGATATATGACCTCCCCTTTCTTAAGCAGGGCTAGCGTCTCGGTGACCACTGTCTTTTCCGCAAGGTCTGTTACGATGCTGAAGTCCACATCTCTCGTGTATTCGAACTTACTGGTCTGCTGGTATGCTGACAAAATCTTATCTTTATCAAACTCGAGAAACTGCCTGAGGAAGTATTTACTCATTATGCAGTCCGTTACCCCGGGAATTCGCAGAGCCACTAACGTGAACGCCCTTAGGAAATCGTTGTAAGTCGCATAGTTTTTCCTCTGGACCACAGCTAATTCGGCCTCAGTTGCCATTTTTTCTGCCTTCAGGTATTTTCTCATCATCTCATTCCTGGTTTCTTTCCAGGATCCACTGGAGGCGATGATGGCGATAATGTCCCTTCCTATGCTTTGCGACACGTGCTGCCCTAGGTGCTCCATCTTTTCCTCTTCCGTCCATTTCAGTAAGGCTGCTAGGTTCTCATAGTCTATTAGAAACTCCGTAATGTTGGCCCCATCGAACGTGAGTTTCTTCTTTGCATCTGCGATATACCTCTGGTTCTTGTTTAGTGTCCTGGTGAGGGTGGCGACTACCCTCTTGAGACCATCTTCGGAGCCACCCGCTTCTCCGGCCGCACTAGTCCCTTCCCCTACCTTGCTTTCCCTCTGCTTCTCCCTGGTTTTCGGCATTCCTTCTGGGTCGAACCATCTTAGCACTCTTTCCCTAAGGTTCTAGAGTCCGTCACATGCCCCTGTTACTTTCGGCGTGGCGGGTAGTCTGCTGGTGCCGTTGTCGATGGCGGGTGGGGTCATAGCGTTTTTCGTCTCCTCCGTCGGGGGATCGTTCTTGTCCTTCCCCTTCTTACTAGGCGTTCCTTTGTGGCTATTATCCTTCCCCTCATACCTAGCCTCGTCTTGACCGGTCCTGTGTCCCTCACGTGACCCTGCGCCCTGGGGGTCCTCTTCATCCTCGGCTATCATCTGCTCGATAAGCCTTGCCTTAAATTTTGCAGTCTGTTTTTCTATCTCTGCCAATTTACGACTGGCATCCGAGACTTTTGTCTTTTTAGGGGTGACTCCTGCTGAGTTCCGAGGGCTTGTTCTCATATCATTTCCCCCTTCCCTGTCTTCCTGAGGTCCCCTTTTGTTACCCCCAGCTTTCCCCGAGCTTTCTCCAATTGAGGCGTCCTTTCCGTCTTCTCGGGTTCCTTCCAGTTTGGCCGACTCTCGATCCCTGGCTGATCCCTCGTTTCGTTCCCCATCCCCATTAGTGCCCTGATTCCCTCCGCTCTGCTGGTCATTGATTCCTTCCTCAGTCGCCATTTCTTTACCTAGCCTGCACATGGAAAAAAGAATTGCGAAAAAAATGGTCGGTTGTTCATAACTGCCATAGTCCCGGCCCTAAAACCCGCCTATTCCCATGTTTTTTTTGCGTCTTATATTAATCGGTCCGACTCTACTGACTTTTCTTTCCCAGGGCGTCCTTCAGGTTTTTTCCCCGCTCGGGGAACTTGTCGCCGCTGCTTGGCATTTTTATCACTGCCGCGCTTTGGCTCTTAGGGCAGTGTTTGAGCCCAGTGGCCTCCTTATCGAGGATGGCCCTTTTGGCTTTTCGACCTCCAAATGCCCCAGAGTTGTCTGGTGCGGGTGGTCTTCCTAGTTCCTCCTTGCCGCTCTATCGGTTCGGATGGAGTTCCAACCACTGCCCCTCTTTTGCTGATGGTTGCCTACTTATCTTAGTACCCATCCTTTATTTCCCTACCTCTTCCTGACGCGTTTTCTCATGCTGGTCGATCAGGCCTGCCCTGCTCATCCGGTTCCTCGAACAGGTTAGCCAACCCAGCAACGTAATTTTCCCCATTCTCTATTTCCCTAATAATTATTGGCTCATATTCTTCAAACGACAGGTGGGGCAATCCGAATATCAAGATCTCGATTAATTCGAGTAGTTCCCAGGCCTGATTCCCCCAGAACGGCCCATGTCTGACCGACACATCGTAGAACATGCTCGTTGTTTGTGGCCGGAAGAGGTGGATCCAGACCAGGGTCGAATCCACCAGGTCCCTAACTCTCTTGAGGCTTCCGAATACTAAGTCCACCATGAAACGAGGTACTCGACACCTCAACCCGGTCATTGGGGCCTTAAACTCTCGCCAGCCTCCGACCTCCACCCGAGTTCTTAATCCCATGTTCCTTCTCCCTCGCACTTCCTGGCCTACTCGGTTCAGTACCCTGGTAGCCCTTTGAAAGATTGGTAACAACCCATGTCCTAGTGCCAGTTCCGTTCCTAGCATGTACCATTCAAGTTCCGACAGGTATATGGTCCCTGTTACCCTAAGATAGGTATACAGATCGTCTCCCGGCCCCCTGTTAATTCTCATACCATCCCACAAACATTCCATCATCATGAACGCCTGACCTCTTCCCAGGGTCACGGCCCTCCATTCGATGTCCAATCCTTGGATCATGTAGCTTGCTGGGAGCGATACCTCCCATCCGCCTCCACTTTCCGTGGGTGGTCACGGGTGTGTGGACCGTCGCAGCATCCGGACGCGCCCCATCGCCATTTTTGACTTAGTAGTCCCCTGCACAGTTTAAACAGCAAGCCGTTTTACTTATTTCATTTAATCTTCATCTCCCGCCCGAACACTCCCCGGTTTCTAGCTTGAATCTTCCTTTTCTTTCCTTGACCTCTTTTATTGGTCCGTCCCTACGTCCATCGGCTCATACAGTCGGTACAGATCATCTATATACACCATTCCCTGACTTATTTCCCATCGGATGACACCCCACAGGACCTCACTTCCCACGACCGGAGCCCTTGGCCTAGTGCTAAACACAGCACGCAGGATGCGCAACACCTCGTACTTCTGCTCTCCACTGAACGGGCCCATTTTTAGGAAGGCCCGATAGTATTCTCGATGTACCATTGCATCTTCATATGTCAGGCTTGCGAGGTCGGCTACCGCTCGTCTAATAAGTCCCAGACCGCCCAGCCTTTCCAGCAGGAAGGGCCGCAGCCTCATTCGTACATTTTCACTAGGCAATTCGAAACTCCCGACCATGGCTACCCTAAGGTTTGCTGTTACATCGTCAACCCCCGGATCTGCAAACTCAAATCCCGCTCACTATACTAACTGCCATGCCCCTTCAAACATGCTCAACGGGTCTTCTCCCGATGCCAGCCGAACTCCGAACTCCCTCCACCCATCCTCTGACACATACAACCGTCCTTCTGCACTCACATGCCCCCGCGGATCCAGGTTCCATTCCCCATTCTCATCCGCATGCCACTCAACTTTCGTCACCAAGTAGACCATATTTTCCGCAAGCTCGACCCCGACCTCATCTGCCACTTGGTGCCAGCCGTCACTTGCCGCCGGCAAGCTAACCTCTACCCCACCCGGTACTTCCCTAGGTGGTTCAATGCCCAAGGGGCGTTCCTCGAGGCACGTCCTTCTTCGCGCCATCACGCACTCGCCTTTGATCTCTTGGCTCGCAATCCGCATCGAACCCTACAATGGTGAGACATCCCATTCCCTTGTCTTAGCAATTTTCCCCCTATTTGCCTAGCCCCACGACTTTCCCGCGTTTAGTCGAACCATAGTACCTCGAACAATTTGAACACATCATCCACATAAGAAGGTGTTGCTGCTACCTCACGGCGGATTATGGCCTCCCTAGTTTCCGGGGCCACCTCCTGTCGGTCATTCCTCTCAATCTCCAAAATGATAAGAACCTCCCAGACTTTATCGTTGTGGAAGGACCCAAATTTCAAGGACATCCTATATAATTCCTCTGCCAGCCATGCGCAGTTCACGTGTATTCGTTCCATCGTGTCGGCTACCTTTGTTACGTGAGCAAAACCCCCAAACCAGTCCACCACGAACTCGGGCACCCAGATCTTGGTTCGGGTGCCAGGCGGTTTAAATTCCTTCCATCCTCCCATCACGACTCTACTGCTGACCGTATCCCAACCTTTGTTAGCAAGCCTTTCCCCCGCCTGCCGAGCTCTTGCCTCAACGTCCCCTAAAAGCCACATCGGGTCCTGTCCTGCCGCGAGCGTTGTGCAGAACAGGTGCCAACCTTGTTCAGAGAGAACGATCGTCCCGACTGATTCCACCCTTCGTTCCGCCATCTCTTCCCATCCTTCCTCTTCCCTCAACGGGTTCCAGACACGCTCTATCCATAGGTACGATAGCTCCGGCACGATCTCATACCCTCGCCAATCACATGTGGTCCCCTTCCATTCATAGCTCGGCGGTATTGACATCTCTACTCCTCTTCCGGTTCGTCTTGGTTCCCATGTGCAATCCCACGGCTCGAATTCCCGGGCCATCACTCCCTACCTGCACATAGTTGACAACCCGTTTTCCCCGGGTAAGTCCCCCCCCTTCAGAAGTCCCAGCCCTCTATCTCGTCCCCGTCCTCCTCATCACTGGAATCCTCCTCCTCTTCTATGAACATCTCTTTCACCCCTTCCAAGAAGGTTTCCCCCGCCGCCACGTTTCGATAAACTATCCGCGAATACACCGGACTAGGAACAAAGACTTCGTCCGCGCTGAGGAGGTTTCACATCTCAGCTAATTTTTCTGCCCAGTTTCCTTCAAACGGCCCCGCTTCTACCGACAGCCTAAAGAAGTCCTGTCTAGCACATTGGTACAGCCTCAGGCGGGTCATTGATTGGCATATACGTTCCAGTCTATCCCTGGTCCCGAAGACTGCATCCACCAGAAATGGGGGTAGCACGCACCTCATTGTCCTAAGAGGGCATCTCATATTTTTCCGGTCCCCGAGTTCCACTCGCACCTCGATCCTTTCCATCTCCATTTCTGCCCGCTGACATGCTGCCTACACCACTTCACGTTCCACTTGCCTAAACAGCTGATCCGGTGCCGTGCCCAATACTAGTCCCACTACCATTGCATTTTCCAATTCCTGTGATAGGTAGACCCATCCTCGAGCTTCCATTGTTCCCCGGAATTCTAGGTCCATCAAACTAGGTGAAAGTCTCATCAGGCTGACCTTAGTCCAGATTGTCTCTATCGAGAGGAACACGTCCTTCTCGTCCAGCATCACGGTTTCATAGGCCGGTTCTAGGTCGGTCCACGTCCCTTCTTCCGGGAGAACAACAGATACCCCATCCCTTATCTGTACAGGCATTTTCGGACCACTCGAGTAGACAGGAGGCGACAACCATCGCGCCATCTTGTTTCCCGGCGCGTGTCCTGTTTTCCACATAAGAGCACCACACGGCCCCTCATGGTCAGATGGTTTGCTTTTCCTTTTCGAGATGAGAGTTGTTTTCAGACCCCTCATCTGGGTCTCACTAACTTTTCTTATCCATTTCCGAGGTGCCATTGCCCTACCATACCCCCAATCGATCATGCTTAGCCGTCATTGCTTTCTCGGGGTTCCTTTTTCTTCCGACTCCTATCCAGCCTCTTCCTTATGTTCTCTCACTCGTGTGGACTTAGACTCGGAGGTGAGAATAGACTTAGAAGCTCGGTCCCCATCCATCATTCATCAGGCAACTTTACAGAGGGAGGCACAAAAAGCAAACTCAGCCAAACGTCGCACACTGGTCAGTCATCTCTTTACTGACCTTTTCCCCAGAAATGGTCTCTCCACTGTTACCATCGGCAGGGTTTTATCCCATACCTCAAGCACAACTCAACCGTCGCGAGCGCGGTACCCAGGTCTCGGCAAGGCATTCGCCCTTTCCTCCTTACCCAGAATACCCCATCCCGAATTGCCACTCGTGTACCCACCGTTAATCTCGGGAATCACCCCGCACATCTCGATAAGGCCATTGGAGTCGGCCGTCCAGGCATTCACTTCCATCGGTTCGACAAGAATCAGTTTTTTCCAAGCCATGCTACGAGAAGCTTTTAATCGCCTCTGAGGCTCCTTCCTTGTCCCATATGCAGTGGTCCCCCTGCCGTGTGCCGACAAGCAGTCGTCCCGCCTGAAGACGTTTCACACCCCACCTTAGCAAGGTCATCGAGCCATGCTCGGACCGTTCGGATGAGAATGCTACTAATCAGCCGACGAGACCAACCCTTGCCTGACAGCCCGGTGGCCCGACCCCCACACACGGAACCCGGTGAACTTCAAAGAGGGCGACCATTCCGCATCCCGCACCGGCCGATGCAAACCAATCCTTTCCTTCCGAAAGGCAGGACGCTCGAATCCCCATCATGCAAATACAAGCCCCAAGTGGGACACACATAACATAAGTGTATTTCCCCAGATGCACCCAGCGCTTCCTACCCATGGCTCACAACTTTTCACTCAGGACAGTGCGTGCCACTCACCCTTAACTTTCATACGAAGTGCCCGGTTCTTTTTCGTAAGCATCTTCAAAAGGTGAGCTAGTTTTCTTGGAGTCTAACAACTCCCTCCTTTCCTTTTATCTTCACTTCATGTGTCCATTCATGGGGCAGGATTGTTCCTTCTCGATTACCCTTTGTGTTTATACGAGGTTCCTTCAAGCATTAAGTGTGGTTCATGGAGCCCGCTGGGCTCCGAAGAAAAGGAAAGAGAGCACCCGTGTCAGTCGGATCACTCCGCCGAGGGATTTTCATTGGAACCCAGACTGGCCCGGAATCCCAATCGCCTGCCAGGTAACCGGAGCCCCTCTTTCACACGAAGAGGAAGGGTGGACCTGCGGCTCGCCCAAGGCTTCCCCGGTCTGACGAACATCAGCCCGAATGAAGGAGGACTAGAGTCATCTCCAGGGGAGACAGCTAAGTGTGTGTGCCAACATGCATGTTATTCCTCCAGGCCTCGCCTTGCCATGCACCCAACCGCCCTCAAATCTGATTCACTCAAAGGATAGAGCATACACGAATCCTCATTCCTTGTCTTTAGTTATGTACACGGCCATGCAACGGGCGCCCCCCCCTCGAGATCGTTAGGGTCAATTTAACCCATACCCGGCACCTCAACCATTTTTGTAGCGGCCGTACCCTGAAGGACTTTCGAGCCTTGGTCGACCCCGCTGCGGGTCCCATTTGGCTCGACCCGCCCACGCTCACGCTCAGGGCGCGGGTCGTTCGTCCTAGGGGCACCCCCACCTAGTGCTATGAGATGGATGGGGATGGGCCATTTTGCGAGAGGGCTTTACATTGGGGGATGTAGCCGCTCTCGATGRTAGCTCTTKAGGCACTCGTGGCGTTTGCTTGATTCTCTTTTCATCTGACYAGGCAATTGCTCATTCCAATACGCAGGCAGTCCAGGGAGTTCATTGAGAGTTTATCTTCGTTTCGTGTGTAGGCCAAGCGTCATCCATTGGACCACACACTTCTTCACTAAACCTAGCGACTYAAGACCGCCCCTACGGCATCCTCGGGGTGGGGTGGTTTCRCCCGGACCMCTAGCCGCTATATTTTTTTTGCTTGAGTCACTAGTGTTGCATTCACCTATCCAAGACCGCCCTTAGTCTTTCCAGGGGTCGCATTGCACAATAAGAGAGACATTCCATGCAACCTCCACACAAGCCAAGTCCATGCATCAACCATCCACCCAGGCGTCCGGTCTCAACTCATCCGTATCCATGGCTTAAGCCGGGTCCAAGTCCTTTCCTTAGCCAATCTCCCACCCTAGTCTTCATCCGCAGGCCCAGCCCGTCCAAATCGTCCCTAGTTACTCACCTGCGCAAAACCACACAAGACAAGTGACCAAGTATAATCCCCATTGGGGTCAACACATTGCCCTTTCCCGCAATCCTAAGTTGTCTTTGCCTCTCAATTCCCCTTCTGAGTTCCCTTCTCTTTCACACAGGCAAGCCATGCAACCGCCTCAGTCATGCATTCCGGGAGGATGGTTGAGTCAAACTGACCTCATTCAAAAACAGCACTCCTTTTCGCTTTCACAAATGTTCTCAATAGCCTCGTATCCTTTCCTTCTTGGTGGCACAAGGGACCGGCAGCCCTTCCCTTGCCCTCGCTTTCCACCAAGTGAGGACCAAGTTCCTTTCCGTTCACTCCCCGACAATGTAACAGGTGAGGGTAAAGGATAGTCACATGCCATGGAGGGGAAGGGGTGACGGAAGGGTTAAGGGTTAATGGTTTTTGAAGGAATGGAGGAAGACGGAG